ATTGAGGGAACTCTGAAGATCATCCAGTGCAATCCCCTGGCAAGGCAGGGCCACCCAGAGCAGGCCACACAGCAATGTGTCCAGATGGGTTTGGAGTGTCTCCAGAAAGGGAGATTCACAACCTCTCTGGGAAGCCTGTTCCAGTGCTCTGCCACCCTCAACAGAAAGTTCTTCCTTGTGTTGTGGTGGAAGTTGTGTTTCAGCTTATGGCCATTGCTCCTTGTCCTGTTGCTGGGCACCACTGCCAAGAGCCTGGCACCATCCCCCTGGCACCCACCTTTGAGATACTGATCTGCATTGGTGTGACCCCCTCTCAGTCTGCTCTTCCCCAGACTAACCAAGCCCAGCTCCCACAGTCTCTCCTCACAAGTGATGCCCCAGAACCCTGATCATCTTTGTGGCCTCTTGTCTGTCTTGTACTGAGAAGCCCAGACCTGGACACAGTGCTCCAGATGTGGCCTCACCAGAGTCATCAGAGGGGGAGGATCCTGTCCCTCTATCTGTTGCAATACTCCTGCCTATACCCCCCAAGATACTCTTGTCCCTCCTGGCTTAAGGGCACACTTCTGACTACACCACTGATCACAATCTTCTGAGCTCTGCCCTTCACAGAATCACAACGTGGTTTGTGTTGGAAGGGACCTTAAAGCTCATCCGTTCCCAAACCCCTGCCACGGGCAGGGACACCTTCCACTAGAGCAGGTTGCTCCAAGCTCCTGTGTCCAACCTGGCCTTGAACACTGCCAGGGATGGGGCAGCCACAGCTTCTCTGGGCACCCTGTGCCAGCGCCTCAGCACCCTCACAGGGAAGAGCTTCTGCCTTATCTCCAACCTGAACTCGCCCTGTTTCAGTTTGAACCCATCACCCCTTGTCCTATGGCTGCAGTCCCTGAGGAAGAGTCCCTCTCCAGCATCCATCCAGCCCGTTCCCAACCCACCTCCCTGTGTTTCCCTCTACCCCGCGCTTGCAGCGGTCACACACGAGATGTGATGCGAAAAGGCGGGGCCTGGCGGAGGCGAGGCCAAGCAGGAAGGGACGGGGCGTTGCGGGCGCCATGGAGGGCCGCGGCATGCGGCGGGTGGTGGCGGTGGGCGCGGGGCTGGCGGGGCTGGGCGCGGTGCAGCGGCTCCGCGGGACCGGCTCCGGCTCCGTGCGGCTGCTGGAGGCGGCGTCCCGCGCCGGCGGCCGTGTCTGCACCCGCCCCTTCGGTACGGAGGTGCCCCGGGGGCGGCCGCGGCTCCGGAACTGCCCCGGGGGTAGCACCGGGGATGGGGGAGCTGCACCGCGACCGCCGCTGTGGAGCCGGTTCCTGAGTGGGGGGACACGGGGCGCGGGTGTCTGTTCCTGTGGGTGCAGTGCGAGCACACTGGAGAGAGTGACGGGTGGTACAGGGGGGCTGGGCAGGGTCCGCTGACTCCAGCTGGTTCTGCGAGTCCTGCCCTGGGGTGATACCCTCCTCCTCCGCAGCGTCAGGGCTGGCAGAGATGGGGGCGCACTGGATCCACGGCCCCTCGCCAGGGAACCCCGTCTTCTGCCTCGCCACCCGCTATGGGCTGCTGGGCCCGGATGCTGCCCGGGAGGAGAACCAGCGGGCAGAGGCAGGGGGTCACCCCCCGCTGCCCTCCATCACTTACGGCAGCTCAGGGAGGGCGCTGAGCCCGCAGGCGGTGAGTGAAGCCCATGACCTCTTTGACACCCTCCTGGCCTCTGCCCGTAATTTTCGGGGTGCTGAGGAGCCACCAGCACCCAGTGTGGGACAGTACGTGCGGGCAGAGATCACTCGCAGGGTCCCTGCTTTGGGCGGGGGCGAGGAGGATGCCCGGCGGCTCCAGCTGGCCATCCTCGCTACATGCCTCAAGCTGGAGTGTTGTATCAGTGGCACCCACAGCATGGACCTGGTGGCGCTAGAGCCCTTTGGGGAGTACATTTCCCTGCCAGGCCTGGACTGCACTTTCCCGGGGTAAGCACAGGGCTCTGGAGAGGGAAATGGAAGAGCATTTTATGGGGCCACCCTATCCCCATCAGCACCTTCTCCTGCAGTGGCTACAGCAGCTTGACCGAGCACATGCTCTCAGCTCTGCCTGAGGGCACGGTGCTGCTCAACAAGGCAGTGAGGACCATCCAGTGGCAAGGGTCCTTCCGTGAGGAAGGGGATAATGCTAGGGATTTCCCCGTCCGTGTGGAGTGTGAAGATGGAGACACCTTCCTTGCTGACCACGTCATTGTCACCGTCCCACTGGGTGAGGACATCAACACCTTTCCTTGCCATGCCTGTCTCCTCAAACCAGTTGGCATGGCTGATGATGGGCAGGCTCCTGGTGGGAGAGGGGAGGATGGAAACGGGCTCTGATCCCACTTCAGAGCCCAGCAAACAGAGCTGCTGGTTCTTCTGCCTAATCATCTGCCTGCAGGTTTCCTCAAGGAACGCCACCAGGACTTCTTCCAGCCTCCCCTGCCTGAACGGAAAGCAGAGGCCATTCACCGCCTAGGTTTTGGCACCAACAACAAGATCTTCCTGGAGTTTGAGCAGCCTTTCTGGGAGCCCCAGCAGCAGCTCATCGAAGTGGTGTGGGAGGATGAGTCTCCCCTCGAGAAGCCCAACACCGACCTGGAGGCCAGCTGGTTCAAGAAGCTCATTGGATTTGTGGTCCTCCAACCACCAGAGCAGTATGTGATGGGAGAACCAGCAACAGGGGTTAGGGCATCTCCTAGACTATGTGACAGAGTGTCTTGGTTTTGTGGGTGGCAGCAGATCTCAACCCCATCTTTCCTCCCCAGGCATGGGCACGTCCTCTGTGGCTTCATCGCAGGGAAGGAGTCAGAGTACATGGAGACACTGAGTGACGCAGAAGTCCTCAGCACCATGACACGCATGCTCCGCACACTTACAGGTAACCACTGCCTCCTCTGCCCTTGTCACCCCATCCCCCTGGATTTCTGGATCCCACTGAGAATCTGCACCCACAGGGAACCCACTCCTGCCCACTCCCAGGAGCGTGCTCCGGTCCCAGTGGCACAGCACTCCCTACACCCGGGGATCCTACAGCTACGTGGCCGTTGGCAGCTCTGGGGATGACATTGACATCCTGGCTCAGCCCCTGCCCGAGGACCCCGAGGACCCCAGGGTAACTGCTTTAGGTTGGGGGATGGCAGTAGCTATGGAAGAAGCAGGATCTCCTGGCTTGGGGCCAGGGTACCCTAGGCCATGAGGAGCACAGGGACATGGCATTCCTCACACTCCACTTGGGAGTCACCAGTGTTCATGTCACCAACCAACCCCCCTCGGCTTTTCCCACCAAGCTCCACGGGTGTGGGGGGAACCCCACTTTCATAAAATCTGGGGACACTTGGCTGCTTCCAAACACTTTCTGGCACCAGGAGGTTGCAGTGATGTGGGGGTCAGTCTCTTTTTCCCAAGTTACAAGGGACAGGACAAGAGGAGACGGCCTCAAGCTGCACCAGGGCAGGTTTAGATGGAGCTGAGGAACAATTCCTTCCCCAGAGGGTGCTCAGGCATTGGAACAGGCTGAACAGGGCAGGGCTGGAGTCACCGTCCCTGCAAGTGTTCACACACTGTGGAGATGAGGCCTCAGTGCCATGGGTTAGTGGTGGCCTGGGCAGTGCTGGGGAACGGTTGAACTTAATCTTAAAGGTCTTTTCCAACCTGGTTGAATCTATGATGCTCACATGGGGTGGGTCAATAAGGAAGGGAAGGTGCCCTATGGCTCATGCACATGGAGGGTGCCGGAGGGCAGGGAGATGAGGCTGGGTTAGGATAACCCCGCTGTGCTGCAGGGGGGCGCAGCAAGCCCCCAGCACTCACTGCCCACCTTGCAGCCCCTGCAGCTCCTTTTCGCCGGCGAGGCCACGCACCGCACCTTCTACTCCACCACCCACGGGGCGCTGCTGTCTGGATGGCGAGAGGCCGAGCGCCTCAACCAGCTCCTTGAGACACCCCCCGGCTCTGAGGTGCAGAAATAAAACCTGTGCTTTGCTGCTCAGCCTCCTTTATTGAGAACCCCGGCGGGCAAACACACGCAGAGAAGCTTCTCCTTCTGTAGGGCATGGCTCCTTGGCTCGGGTCCGGCGGGGACAAGGGTCCGCAGCCTTAGTACCAGTTGGTGCTGGCGATCAGGTAGCGGGTGTCGTCCAGCGGGCACTGCGGCGGGGCTGGCTCCTCAGTGGGCTGAGGGGCTGGCGGAGGCGGCTGCGGCTGGGGGGTGGCTTGAGGACCGGCTCCCGCTGCCGGGGGTACCTCCCCCTCGCTGCGGGGCCCAGTACTGCCCGTGTCGCCGGGGCCTGTCCCCGGTACCGGCCCGCCCGCAGGCCGCTTCTCCGCCATGGCGCTGAGCGGAGCCGGCCGTTAGCAGCTGAAGGGAAGCCCCACCCACCGGCGCGCTCTCGGAGGCGGGGCCATGCGGCTCCTCCCCGCGCGTCGCGCCGGATGTGACGCAGACTGCCATGAGGGGGTGCCCGGTGCTGCTGCGGGCGGCCGCGGAGGGGCCGGGGCTTGGGCGGTTCCGGGAGCGCTTCGATTTCGGCGGCCGCGATGTGGCCTCCTGGTTCCCGGGGCACATGGCCAAAGGTGAGGGGTGCTGGGAGCGGGGAGGGCTGCCACCGCCGCTCCTTCGCTTCCGCCGCCGCTCACCCAGCGCTGTGCCGCAGGCCTGCGGCAGATGCGGAGCTCCCTGCGGCGCGCCGACTGCCTCATCGAGGTGCACGACGCTCGCATATCCTCCAGCACGTCCCGTCCAGCCCCCCCGCCGTGTCCCCGGGCGCAGTGGGAGATGTCTTTCCGGGACATTGTCCCCTGCATCGGTGGGGTCTTCACTGCCCCATGTGCCCCAGCTGCCCCGTGTCCATCCAGTTCACCTCCCAGCCCCATACCCCTCTCCAGCAGCACAACAGCCCCACTCGAGCCCCATCAGCTTACCCCCACCACCAACTAGTCCACCCTGTACCTGCTTCCATGGAATACCCTTCCCTAGCTGCACAGCAGACCCATCAGTTTCCTGCCCTGAGGAACTGGTCCACCCCAGTATATGCTTCTGTGCCATACCCCTCTCCAGCTGTGCAACAGCCCCATCAGCTTCCCCGCGCACAGAGCTTGTCCACCCCAGTACCTGCGTCCGTGCCAGCGCACAGTCACTGTCCTTAACGGTGCTCACATCCCACTGTCGGGCCGTAACCCCATTCTGAAGGAGGTGCTGGGCATTCGCCCACACATCCTGGTGCTGAACAAGATGGACCTGGCTGATCCCAGCCAGCAGCCGGTGAGCACTGGGGCAGGGCTGGCTGGGGGTCCATGGGTCCATGCAGGCAGGTACCAGCAATGCCTCTTCCTGTCACCTTCAGACAGTCTTGGAGCACCTGAAGCAACAGCAATGCTCACACGTTGTCTTTGCTGACTGCAAGCGTGATGTCAATGTCAAGAAGGTAACGAACCAGCAGCTCCATGCCCAGCCCTGCATCTTGCTTCCAGCAGCTGAGGGCCATGCACTGTTTTTCCCAGCCCCATTGAGAGGCCTCAGTGCCCCACTGCGAGGAAGTGAGGCTGGCTGGTTCACAGTGTTCCCTGTCCTCTGCTTGGCCCCTGTTTTGTGCATCCTTCTGGCACGGTGTCCTCCAAGTGAATGGCCAGTGTGGGTGCAGAGCCACAGTTACAGCCCTTCTCTGTGTCTCTCTGCAGATTGTTCCCATGGTTGCCAAGTTGGTGGACAACAGCCCTCGCTACCACAGGGCTGAGGTGAGACTGCCAGTGTGTGCAGGGAGTTAGGGTGGCTGTTGGCAGCTTCTCCAGTTCAAGAACGAAGGCCAAAAGCACCAGCAAAGGCTGGGTTGTTCTGTTTTCATGGCTGCCTGTTGCTCCTGGGGTGGGTGGCCAAGAGCAGGTTGCTCCCTGCCCACATCCACATCACTTCCAGAGCACCGAGTACAGCATCATGGTGATCGGCGTGCCCAACGTGGGCAAGTCCTCACTCATCAACTCCCTGCGGAGGCTGCACCTCAAAAAAGGTATTTCTCCATGGTGCCTGGCCTTGGGAAGGAGTCTCTGATAGGACAGGATGTCACTTGCTTGTCTGACTCTTGCCTCTCCCCAAAGGGAAAGCCACTCCTGTCGGTGGTGACCCTGGTATCACTAAGGCAGTGCTGACCAGAATCCAGGTACTGTCCCTGCTATCTGGGTGGATGCTGGCTTCTGCCTTCTCTTGCTCAAGGCGTGCAGAGCTGATCTCAAAGGGTCTCTCAGGTCCTCTTTCCAGCAAGACCTTAACAAAACTCAACACCTTGCTTGTTAGCCACATGCAAGTCTGTGACATTGCAGTTACCAAACAGTGTGTCTTAACAGCCCTGTCTCCCTCATCCCAGGTCTGCGAGAAGCCCCTCATGTACCTGGTGGATACTCCTGGCGTGTTGGCACCGAATCTGGGCGATGTGGAGACAGGAATGAAGCTGGCACTGTGCGGTGAGGTGGCCGCTGTGGCCTGGGGGACTCCCCAGATGTAGCTGTGTGCCCTCACATGAGGCTGGGCTGAGACTGCTGCTCACAGGGCCAGCACATGCTACCTGGGTGCCCACAGGTGGCATGTAGATGGCAGGAGGGGTGGCCAGGGTTTGGCTAGGGCTGCGGGAGCTGGGGCTTGACCCTCTTTTCCAGGAGCCATCCGTGACCACCTCGTTGGGGAGGACATCATGGCTGACTACCTCCTGTATGCCCTGAACAAGCGGCAGCAGTTCAGGTGAGCCAGTGGGGAAGCTGGAGAGGGCCCTGGGCTGCACTTGCTGCGCTTAGTCCCATGTGGGTGGTGTAGAAGCTGTCCCCAGGGAGCTTGAAGGGCAGAAGCAATACACCCCACCTCCTTTGGCAGGTATGTACAGCGTTACGGACTGGCTGAGGCCTGCGATGACATTGGGCTTGTGCTGAGGCACGTGGCCCTTGCCCAAGGCAGGACGCAGAAGGTGAAGGTATTGACGGGCACAGGTGAGTGCTTAAGGGGGATCTCTGCCTCCTGGATTGCAGGGGATCCTAAGGTGGCTTCAGGCTCCACTGATGGCTCCTTCTGCATCCCCCCATCTCCAGGGAATGTCAACATGATGATGCTCAGCTACCCTGCTGCTGCCTACGAGTTCCTGCGGGATTTCCGGGCTGGACGCCTGGGCAGGGTGACACTGGACTGAGACCTGTCCCATGGGGGAGAGAGGCACCGCCTGCAGCTGCATGGGCTGGAGCCACCTCAGCATGGAGCTTTGGTGTGAGATTAAAGCGGCTCTGCCAGGGCAGCCCCCAGTTTCAGATCTTGGGCTGCTGCAGGGGAGCAGAGGGGCAGAATCCCTGTGATGGGGATGAGGAGCTGCCCCCAGGTGTCCCCATGCTGGACAGTGGTTGCTGTGGGGAAAGGAGGCCTGGTGCTGCTTCCAGCCAGGACAAAAGCTCTGAGGAGCCATTTCCTCACTGTGGTCTTGGCCATCTCTGGGACTTGAATTCCAAAATAAAACCTGCATGGGTAGGGTGCTGGGGCCATCTCAAGGTGCCTGTCCTGAGCCCCTCACCCTGCATCCAGTTATAACTGCTTTCTGCTCAGCTTTATTGCTGCCTCCTCATCCTTCAAACACTGCGAGACCCACGTCTACAGAGGAAGGAGCAGCACTAACGGGGTTGCCCAAGTCAGTGGGGTTTGGCACGGGCTGGAGGGCAAGGAAGTGTAGGGGAGCTTCCATGGGGTCGTGCCCCGCTGGTGCAGCCCTGGGAGCTGCTGGTATCCCGGGGGGTGGGCTCAGCCCCGGGGTGGGGTGGCTGGTCCTCTCGGCATCGGTAGTTGCACCAGACACGGGCCATGTTCCTCCCGAAACCATCAGCGGCGGAGGACGGCAGCCAAGGGACAGAGCCACGACACTGCCCAGCCCGGCGGGGCCCGTCCCGCTGCGGTGGAGGTCCAGGCGCTGGCAGTCCAGTTGCCATCGCGGTACTCGGCGCCTTCACCCACCTCCAGCTGCCCCGCCAGCCGTGCCCGGCGCAGGGCGGCCCCCGCTGCCACCCCGGCCGCCGCTCCCGCCGCCGCCGCACCGGCTACGCGTAGGGACGAGCCGTATCGGGGCACCGCCGCTTTCACCCGGCTGCGGGCGGCCCCCCGCGCTCCGCCACGGGCTGCCCCCCGGGCACCACCGCGCCCGCCCTTACCGGCCACCGTGTCGCAGAAGGCGGCGGCCAGCAGCATCAGCGCCCAGCACGCCGCCGTGCTCCGCCACATCCCGCAGCTCGGCTCGCCTGGGCACACGGGAGAGCGCTGGCCGCTCAGACCCGGCCTCACGCGTGAGCCCGGCACGCAGCAGCACCCCCTTCCCCTCCCCTCCCCTCCCGGTGCGGGCGACGCGTTCTCCCGCGCATGCTTGCACACGCAGACACGCACACGCATCTCCTCGCAGCAGCAGAGCCGCCGCGCACGGCCGCGGGGCGCAGGCACGCACACACACACGCACCCCACTCCACCGGGCACGGCGTATGCTGCCCCCGCTGCGGGGCTCACCGTGCCTGGGGCAGCTGCTCGCTCTCGTACCTGCCCCCCTCCCCATGCACTGGGCCCCGTGTTTGCGTGGAACGTGTCGGGGGAGCGGGAGCGGCGCCTCTAAGGCCACCCCCCGGGGCAGCACTGCCGTCCCGCAGCGCTGCGGGAGCAGCTCGGGAAAGCCCCTCCCGGTAAACGCGCCGAGGGTCCTCGGCCAATAAGGATGGGTCGTTGCGGGGCGGGTCAACCCCAGCCAATAGGAGCAGGGGCGGGGCGGGGCGAGCTGCACCGCTCTCCGCCATGGCCGCGGCCGTACGCGCGCTCCTTCGACCCGCCGTCGCCGCGCGCCGCCGCGCGTTCCTCCCTCCGCCGCCCCGCCCCTTCCTCGGGGCTCGGGGCTGCAGCGCCGGTGAGCGGGAATGGGGGGCGGGGAACCGGAGCGGAGGTCACGGGGAGGGGCCTCAACACCGGTCACGGGCCCCGGGTCCTGGCACCATGTACGGGGCTGTGGCGCCGCGTGATAGCGTCTGTGCACCGTGCGTGACCCCATCCCGTGCGTGTGCCCGGCACCGTGTGTGAGCCATGCACTGGATCCCAGCACCGCGCATCGGGCAGGCACCGGAAGGTGGTCACCGGGGTGCACCGGCTCGGGTCCGGCGTGAGTGCACCAGGAGCCCCCCAGGAGCCCCGTTCACCCATCCCAGGGGGTGACATCCCAACGGGCTGCCGGTGACCGCCGCCGTGTGCCCACCGCTCTGAAGGTCACCTTAAAGCAGCACGGAGCCGTGGCTGACCGGAGGGCAGGCGGGGGCGGGGGCGATCTCTCCCGGTTGTAACTGGGCGGTGCTGGCGGGCAGGAGCTGCGTTCCAGTACCTGGCGGTGCAGAAGACGGGGGCACGGCAGAGCGTGGGCCTGATCCAGCTGAACCGGCCGAAGGCGCTCAATGCCCTGTGTGAGGGGCTGATGGAGGAGCTGGGGCGTGCGCTGCAGACCCTGCAGAACGACCCGCAAGTGGGGGCCATCGTCATCACTGGCAGCGAAAAAGCCTTCGCAGGTAGGTCAGGATGCGCCCCCGACCCCAGGCTTTGGAGGGGGGGTGGGAAGAGGTATCCCACCTCAATTCCCTTTGCAGCTGGTGCAGACATCAAGGAGATGCAGAATAAAACCTTCCAGGAGTGCTACAGCAGCAGCTTTCTCATGAGCTGGGGCAAAGTCTCTACCATCCGCAAGCCCATCATCGCTGCTGTCAATGGCTACGCCGTGAGTCCCCCCCAGCTTCTTTATGCCTGAATTCTCAGACCTTTACCCCTCTTACCCCCCCTTCCTTTCTTCCCTGTCCCAGCTGGGTGGTGGGTGCGAGCTGGCCATGATGTGCGACATCATCTATGCTGGGGAGAAAGCACAGTTTGGACAACCTGAAATCCTGCTGGGAACCATCCCAGGTGAGCACAGGGGTTCTGCCAAGGGGGTCCATTCCTGCTGGAGCAGGGACAACAGGAACACCCGGGTGTCCTTCTCTGGGCTTTTCCCTTCCCCAAATGGTTCCAGGTGCTGGAGGGACACAGAGGTTGACCAGAGCAGTGGGGAAGTCACTGGCTATGGAGATGGTGCTCACTGGGGACCGGATTTCTGCACAAGAGGCAAAGGAAGCAGGTAGGGCTGCATGCCAGTCCCAGCACTGGGGTGGGACAGCAGGGAACTGTCCCAACACCTCCCACTGTCCATCCTAGGTCTGGTCAGCAAAATCTTCCCCGTGGAGAAGCTCGTGGATGCGGCTGTTGCCTGTGCTGAGAAGATCGCCAGCAACTCCAAGCTGGTGACTGCCATGGCAAAGGAGTCGGTCAACAGTGGTAGGGGATGGGGGCCAGTGGAAACGCTGTGGGGCTGCTGCAGGCCATGGGGTCTCCCCAACTTCTCTTTTGCTTTCAGCCTTTGAGACAACGCTGGCAGAGGGGCTGAGGACGGAGAAGCGGCTTTTTTACGCCACCTTTGCCACTGTGAGTAGGGGTTTGTCCTCAGTGTGGTGGGGACAGCAGGGTGGGCACAGCCTCCCCTGAGCCCATCCCTCTGCTCCTCACAGGCTGACCGCAAGGAGGGGATGTCAGCCTTTGTGGAGAAGCGCAAAGCAAACTTCACCGACAGCTGAGCCCAGGGGGTGCCAGTCACCTGCAGCACATCAGCCCCACGCATCGGCCCACGGAGGGGTCTGAGACCCGGTGGCAAGGGACAAGTGCCTCAAGTGAGACAACCAGCAGCGGGAAGCAATTTGCCATCACTATTAAAGGATTTTCCCGGCTCTGCAGGAAGATGGAAGATTCTTGCTGTGGGGTCTCCGCTGAGCTGGGATATGTGTGGGTTCACTGAGACCCCATCATCATGCTGCTCCCCACTGCTCGGCAAGAGCAGCCACATGGAGAACATGTCCATGTGTGCCCTAGGAAGGGGACAGCCTGTGGCACCTTCTTGGGTGCAGTGCTGATGTGTCGAGTTTGCCTGGCCTTGGCCTCAGCTTGTTTCACTGAGGCTACAGTGATGGTCAGAATCACCCACCCTGAGGCATCGTCCTCACCCTCCTCGGGGTCTCTTTTAGTGAGCCCAAGGATGGCATCTCCCACATTTGGGGGCCTTGCACTTGGCAATAGGATTCTGAAAGCAATGAGGAGCACACCAGGACATGGAGGGGAAATTACTGAATCCCAGACTGATTTGGGTTGGAAAGGATGTTAAAGCTCATCCAGTTCCACAGGCAAGGACACCTTCCACTAGAGCAGGTTGCTCCAAGCCCCTGTGTCCAACCTGGCCTTGAACACTGCCAGGGATGGGGCAGCCACAGCTTCTATGGGCACCCTGTGCCAGCGCCTCAGCACCCTCACAGGGAAGAGCTTCTGCCTTTATATCCAACCTCAACTTCCCCTGTTTCAGTCTGAACCCATCACCCCTTGTCCTATCACTGCAGTCCCTGATGAAGAGTCCCTCTCCAGAATCCTTGTAGCTCCCTTCAGATACTGGAATCTGCTCTGAGGTCTTCACACAGCTTCTTCATGCTGAACAATCCCAGTTTTCTCAGCCTGGCTTCATATGGGAGGTGCTTTAATTGGGTTTAGCGGGGGGGCTCAAGGGTGGGTGGGGAGGGATGAGGACCAGGGATGCTCCCACCCCTCATTGTGCACCTGGGGTCTGTCTCCACTGCTCAGTGGTGGTGGAGGTGATCATGGTCCTCCTCGGGGCCATTCTGCACCTGCAGGGACAGCATCAGTGGTGGCCCATAGGCATCGGGCTTTCCAGCATCATCCCGGGAGTGGTGGAGGTGGTCAAGGTCCTGCTCTGGTCCTGCCTGGGCTTGGCGGGCAACCCAGCGAGCCCAGGCGCTGCCGGAGACAACCTTTGAGCCTGGTTCCACGTCTCTGGAGATCTCAGCCTCCTCTGGTGGCTCCACAGCACGAACTCCCAGGATGCTGGAAGAGGGGAGCAAATTCAGTGAGGGAAGGTCCCAGTGCGGCAGGTTCACTAAACATTCCCATCTCCCAGGGCCATCCCACCCCATCAGGGTGCAGGGACCATGGTGAGAGAAACCCCATCCCCAGGAGGCTGCAATTAGGATCTTGGGGAGCGAAGAGGCTTGTTTGACTGCTGAGGTGTTGCTTTGTTTTTGTTCCCAAGCCAGATGTGGGCGCCTCTTACATTTCCTTGGCCACATCCTCCTCTGTAGACAGGTCTTTCATCCTGGGGTTGCCCAGAGCCTGTGGGGAGAAAAGAGGTGCCAGGGGGTGACACAGAGCACAGAGGACTCCCTCTGCCTGCTAATGCCCAGGGCAGGCAGAGGATGGATGGATGGATGGATGGATGGATGGATGGGGCTCACCTGGGTGCCGCTGGAGGCAGGCAGAAGGGCAGCACTCAGCAGGACGGTGATGCTGCAGAACCACAGGACCCTCGTGCTGCAGAGAGATGGGGGAACCCTGTTGGCAGGAGCTGTGTTGGCTGGGGCCTTCCTGCACCCACAGCTCCTGCTGCGCCCACCTGTGCTCAGTGTCTGCCTGTATCCCACACCCTCAGCTCCTGCTGCACCCTCCTGTGCCCAGTGTCTTCCTGTATCCTGCTGCCCTGAGCCATCCCATAGGGACTCACCTCTTCATGGCTGTTCCTGAGCTCCCTGGCCCTCAGTCGCTCTTTGACCGCAGTTTTGCTGCTGTGGCCACTCCCAGGGTGGGGCCAGTTCATGACGCTGGTGCTACTGGGGGCAAGGGGAGCACTGGGATAACCTGCCCTCGTGCACCCAGGCGCAGCAACCCTTCTGCCGTGGGGCTTAGCCATCCAGATTGGCAGATCCCCGAGTGCTGACTGACCAGGTCATTTGCTAAACACGTATCCCAATGTTTGGTAGTCCCACCACCCATTGCTCGCAGTGTAGTTCTGCAAATACATTGTACCATTTGATTTTCCCTGAGGCTGGTGCATGATATGGGATAGTATTCCAGGCGGTGGAAGGTCCTTTCCCACCCAAAGCCACCTGAGGGTTTGGCAGGTCCAAACTGCTAAGTCCAAACCTAAATAGAAGCCATTAAGTAACATAAAGATCTTTGGTGTGGGAGTGCCCTGACAAGCACTATATGGCACGTCCATAGCCGACCTCCGAGCTTTGGTTCGAGCACTGAGTAAGGCTTAATTCACCAGGGAGAGATCAACCAAGAGGAAATAAATCAATGAACTACAAACCCATGCCCTCAGCCCCAGAACAGGAGGGATTTATTTGACTCTGCAAATATCCATCACCGTGAGAGGGCTTCAGCCCAAGCTTGGAGCTGAACCTGCCGCCCCATCGCTGTTCAATCTCAGAGGGCAAAGTTCTGATGAGCTGGAAAACCTTGTGCTTGTCTATAGGTCAAGGTCAGGTTGGATGGGCTCTCACACCTCGTCTAGTATAAGGTGACTCTGCCCCTGGCAGGGGGGTTGGACTGGACGGTTTTGTAAGATCCCTTCCCACTCAAAGCACCCTATGAGCTAAGGCTGCCTGGAGTCCATCTTCCTCCCTCCTGCCACCTGCTGCTTGTAAGAGCCTGGTTGTGCTTTGAGAAGCCTTATTCCTGGAGGGCAGCCAGGCTCTGGGAATGTCAGCTCTGAGGAGACTTCCAGCTGGTCCCTGCTTGCAGAGTGTATTTAGTCCCGGGTCATTTATGGAGAGGTCAGAAACACGGCTGTTTGCTTTGCTGTCAAATATGGGGATGCACATGCCCATGCTCTGGAAGAAGCTGGTGACCCAGAACAGTTACTGAGTCAGGAGCCCTGAGGCTGTAATTACAGTATTAATCTTTTACTTAACCTCTGGGCCTGGAGTCTAGGAAAAGGGAAGAAAGGAACTTCCAGGTGGAAATTCAGGACCTAAACACATAAGGGGAAGTGGACTGGGCTGCTGCTGCTTGATCTTTGTACCACCACAGGCCAAAGCATGCAGGCATTTCCTGTGACATGATGCCTGCTTCCAATCTCGTTATTCCAGCATGGGGAAAGACGCCTCATTAAGGGCTTGCAGTGTTGGAAGGTGATTTTTGGTCATTGCTGGTCACTGCTGATAGACGTTCCTGTGCAGACATGTGGCAGCAGCATCAGGGTGGTGGCCACAAAGGTGGTGACAGAGCCTGGTCTTCCCTGTCCTGCACCATGGACTGTCTCTGGGGGACCAGCAGCAGGAGGAGGTGAAGCTGGACCTCCTGGACAGAGGGTTTGCCTGCCAAAGACAGCTCTCTCTGGAGGCTGAGGAAGAAGGATTAGGGCCAGACAAGCTGGCTGAGTTTTAAACACAGCAAAGCATTCTAAAACTGACAGGGAAATCTCTGCAAGCATCATTCCCTGCTCCTATTTGCAAGGATTTTGCAAAGCCCTTTTTATCCTTTGTTCCACCCAGAGAGGGGGGAGGGAAAAGAGCAATCACAGATCCTAAGCTTCTTGGATAAACATCATTCCTGCAATCTCCTGGGTTTTTCCCCCTCCTTTATGGGCCATTTTAAAAGTGATACAGGACCAGAGACCCGGCTCTGTGTTTCCAATCAACCTTTTCCTCTGTCAGGATGAGATTAAAAAGGAAGGGAAAGACAAGAGGGGAAAATAACCTCCATCTCAACCTGATTGTGGGGGTATCTGGAGCAAAGGGAGGTTCATTCTTCACATCTGACTCTGCCTGGGCTTCAAGACAGCATTTAAATTCTCTACAAAGTTATTTTGTAAAAACTTCTTTATTTATTCACCTCGTTGGAAGCCACTTCCATGTCAACTCCCTGTGGAAGAGAGCTGCAGGGCACCAGAATGCTTCTCCCGGCCTAAGCAAACCTTTCATACGGGTTCCAGAGAAAGTGTTAGGGAGCGGAGCAGCCTTCAGTGAGATGCAGGTCAAAATTAAGGACCAATGTCTTTTTTTCCCCCCCATTTTCTTTTTGTCAGTGGCCACAGCTCCTGTAGAGTCATCAGGTTTTGTCTTGGAATTCCCTGAATCCATTTCTTCCCCCAAAAGGAAAGAATCAAGATGATAACCCTGTGTAGGCTCAGCTGCAGCAACCCATTTCCTCTCACCTCCATGCCGCTGCAAGTCCACCAGCACTGTCTGCTGCAGTCTGAGGCTCTGTGTGAGCTCAACCTGCCCCACGTCTCAAGGGCTGTGCTTGCTGGAGCTTTAAAAGGGAAAAGAGAAGAAAATGAAAGAACAAAACTAAAACAATGAATTGTTGTAATCTCCTTTGCTCTTCCTCTGGATTTTATTTTGCCACCCCCCTGTGCAAGCACAGCTGGCAGGGAAGTGTGACAACCTGCCCCAGGGCTATGGGAGGGAGCTGGGAGGGTGTCCTGCAGGAAGAGGGGGACTGTGTTTTGCTCCATGTTATCTCTGCTGCATTTCTGATAGTGATTCCTTGCAGAGGAAAGCCTATTGGATCCCTGCAGCTGCCTGGAGTTTCAGACCAGCATTTGCGTTTCTGCAAGCTCAGGCAAGATGTGCCCATCTATCTACAGAGCCACTGCTGCCCAGAGCAGTCCTGGCACTGATGAGAGACAAAAACTCACAGAGGCAGGAGAATTTATCTGTAGTTGGATTTCAGAGGGGATCAGGCAAGACAGTGCTGTGCTTCAGGAAGGGTCAGCTCTGAGATGCTGCCAAAGGGAGCTGGTCTGGAGACAAAAAGGGACTGTAGCAAAGCTCCTCTCAATGCGTATCCCAAACTGCTGCTGCACAACCCCTGTTTTCACCCTTCTGCTTTCCCACTAGGGAGTGGGACCCTTGCACACACTGCAAATGACCCCACTCAGTCATGGTGACAATGTCTGCAGGAAGCAGCAGCCAGCCCCTTCTTGTCTTGTACAAACCTGCTGCACTGACCTTCAGACCTTTTTCCTTGGTCCTTTAAATCCTCGGGTAGCACCTTGTCCAAAGCAAATTGTGGATGGGATCCTGGAAAGGGAGGCATGCTGTAATACACATCAACATCCCATTTCTCACAGCATCACTAGGATGCTTTTATGCCTTTTGTAGCAGTTCAAGCTGTCAGGATTGGGAAGAGGAAAGTATTGGAGGAGCAGGACACCTAAGCATAATTCAAAGTGTAATTCAAAAAATGGGCGAAATAGTGGTTTGCTTTCCTGTTTATTTCTCACATTTATGTTCTCCCCTCTCTTAACAACAGGGTGTAAGGTGTTAAAAAATGCAGTATGCCACTGGGCAGCATCAGTGGGGTTTTGTGGAAGCACATGACTGTGAAAAGCAGGAGAGAAGAAACAGCAGTAAAAGCACAGCCTTTCAGGAGCCAACTCTCCTTCTGACCTGCAGCATCACATTAAAGTCAAGGGATGGTTTCTTTAGGGTTTATAAGCTGTTATGCTGGACAAGACAGTGAATCTAAAAATGTCACTGTGGCGGCTGCTTAGTACAGGAGTTTGTCAGGCAAACCATGACACAGAAAAGACCCCACTCCCTCTAGTGTGTGGTGAGCACTTTCAGACTCCATGACTCAGCAGAAAGCTCTGAAGGAGTAAAGCTCACCTCATTTTACACAAGCAGAGCTGACAATAGGAAAAGCAAGAGGGAGCCACTGACAGAAGCAGGTTTCCCTGCATGTCACTCCAGCACAGTCATATTCCAGCAGGGGGTTTGAACTGGATGGTCTTAAGGTTCTTTCCAACCCATTCTGTTCTATGATTCTATGACTTCAGAAGTCAAGCCAGCAATAAGAAATTCAGTTTCAACCTTTTGCTAAGATTTTATGTTTAAAACAAAACCAAAATGCAAATCACCAAACCCAGCAATCTGCTCTGTCTTTGCAAAATCTAAGATTCAGAGTAGGATGTTCACCTTGTCCTGCACCTGCATGGGAGCACAGACAGCTACAGTGAAATGCACCAGCTCAGCCCCAACTCAGCAGGATGGAAAAATGTTAGAAATCACAACAAAACTCGTTGGAGTATTTTAGGACAGAGTTCTTGCCTTCACACCCACAGCATTCTGCTCTAGCCTGGGAAGAGATCACGGGTTGGCAGACTAACAGGACCTTACTGACACAGCTTTCACAGGGTACTCACATTTTGCCCTTCCTTACACTTTCCTCTTTTAAAAATGGCTTTTAAAGCATACATGGAAATCTGACCTCTTTTATCTTCAGCACAGAAATACCCTGACCTGCACTAAGCACTGCAAAATGCAATTAAGATGACTATGGTCTCAGTCCCAGAGGTTTTTTTGCCTGTGGAGGCCAACAGTACAGACCTGGATTTATAGAGGCGTTTCTCTGGCACTGAGGAGAAAGAACTGGCTGCAGTCTCAGGGATCTCCATGGTCTCACTTGGTGCTACTTCCATGGGATCCACTTGGAATTGCTCTGTCTCCACAATCATATCCATCGGCACACTGACATCCTGCTTTGTGGGATTGTTCATGTGCTTGGGGCCACTGCGAAGAGAAAATATTACACCCTTCCTCACTAGTTGTCATTTATTTCTTTGGGGCTTACAGGGTATTTAATGATGAAACAGGTCAAGTCCAATTTGCGTGCACAAACCACCCGGAATAGCCAAAAGGGTTTTGGGGACGGTGTGAGTTTCTACTAAGTATTCAGGGTGGCTTGTGTTATAGCACACAGCTTTGTGTCCAGGTTCTTTTCTTCGGTAACCCATTTAATGTAACCCATTCAACAGGCTTGATTCCCTACAAGAAACATGCACAAAGTGACAGAGAGATGCTGGGATATGCATTTACACTTGAGATGGCACAAAGGGAGCAGAGCTTGGAGCCACCCATGGAGGGAAAGAAGACAGTTTTCAACATTAACATGAAGTAAAACATTGCCACATGCAAGTTTACCCGTTTCATTTCTGAATCTCTGAGAACACAAACATGCTTACTCTGCAAAGGGAGTGCCACAGCAGAGCAGCACATCACCTCTAACAGGTGAAAACTAGTTATGCTACTGCAGTCCTACGGTTACCTTTTCACTTTCTTCGGTCTATCAAACCGAAAGTCAGTAGGATAAAGGTGAACAGTGACCAAGTGATCCTTTCTGTCCTTGCTGCTCTTGAACTTCTCTGTGCAGCCTTCTACCAAGCACTTGTACTGAAAGGCACGGGAACAGGGGAAAAGTAAAAATAAGTGGAAAAGGTCAAAGTGTCAGCTGGGAACAAGGGTATCCTTCTCAAATGGTCATTCTTTGAGGGTGCCAGCCCCCAATGTGCACACCAACCCAGGCACAGCAACTCACCATGTTTTGCTTTTCAGCCATTATCTGGAAGAGTGAGTCATGCCACTCCAAGATGTGGATATCCAGGAGATGCCAAGATGGAAAGGAGCGCTTGCAGAAGGAGCAGACGTTCCTGTGCAGTGTGTTGTAGTGGTGCTCGTAGCCTTCCAGTGTGTCAAAGACCTGGCAGCACCCAGGGATGTGGCAACTGAATTCAGATACTCTGTGGGGAAACCACAGCATCTGTGCCTTAAATTAGAGCCTTAATTTAAGCTGCATATATCCCTCCAGTGACTATATTTGCTTGTGGCATTTTTTGTAAGTAATACTTAAATTAAACACAAGGTGTAATGGAATGAAGACTATAATGGGACTTAGAAATTCTTTATTTGCTGTTACGTCTTAACCATCATATATATTGTCATCCTGTGAATTGGTGCTTCGATTAAGAATAAACCACAAGCAGCAATGTGAGAAACAAGATGTTGGACTTGAAAGTGGATTAGAACTTTGTGCCAAGGCTGTAGGATAACCTCACACAAAGCTTGACTGCCTCAGTTTTATATACAAGAGCAGGTTTTACAGCAAGATGACTACCCCCCAGGCTCAGCCTTCCTGACTGGGGCTGTCTGTACCACATGGCTCTCCCACCATTTTTCACTTGGTGAATAATAACCTGCCACTTGAATCCTCTTGTTTAGCTAGGATCCCCATTTTCAGACATTCTAGATGCCTTTCTGGTTATGGGAACTCTCAGCGAAATGCCATGGCATCCAACAAACATGGTATCTAGACATCCAACAGAGGCAGTATCTAGACAGACAGCTGACTGCAGCACAAAATCCCAGATGGGTTTGGGCTGGAAAGGAACTTAAAAGCTCGTCCAGTTCCAATCCTCTGTCATGGGCAGGGACACCTCACACTATACCATGTCACCCAAGGCTCTGACCAACTTGAACACTGCCAGGGATGGGGCAGCCACAGCTTCTCTGGGCACCCTGTGCCAGCGCCTCAGCACCCTCACAGGGAAGAGCTTCTGCCTAAGAGCTCATCTCAGTCTCCCCTGTTCTGGCACGTTAAAGCCATTCCCCTTGTCCTGTCCTTGCAGGACCTTGTCCAAAGCCTCTCTCCAGCTTTCCTGGAGACCCTTTAGGCACTGGAGCTGCTCTAAGGTCTCCACACAGCTTCTCTTCCCCGGGATGAACAGCCCCAAAAAGGTCAAAGGAAGCTGTGGCTGCCCCATCCCTGGCAGTGTTCAAGGCCAGGTTGGACACAGGGGCTTGGAGCAACCTGCTCTAGTGGAAGGTGTCCCTGCCCATGGCAGGGGTTGGAACTGGAGGAGCTTTAAGGTCTCCTCCAAACCAAACCAGTGTGGGATCTATGACTGTGTCCCCAAAGACCCAGTGTTTGCACTGGTACCCATATGAGCCTGGCACCGGCACAACGCGAGCGGCTGGGGTCCACACCAACAGTGCTGCTCCCCCACGGGAGGCACAAACCAAGCGGCACAGCTGCCGCCATCCCACTTACTTGGGCTTCTCCGCCACCTCGCCGAGGCTGGTGAGGACACCCTGGAGATAGAGGTGCCTGTGAACGTCCCCATCCTGGGAGACGAAAGGAGAGGAGAAGCGATGGTCAGGCCCGCGGAGCCAGCCCTTCTCCACAGAGACAAGAAGGGCTCTGAGGGAGCGCGGCCGCTGCCTTCCAGACCGACCGGGCCCGGGGGCGGGGGGCAGCGGCTCACCTCAAAGAGCGGGTGGTGGGGGCCGAGCCGGAGCCGGCGGGGAGCGAACGTGAAGGGCGGCAGCGGCAGGGCGGGAGCAGGGGACAGCTGCGACGGGGCTGGGGACGGCTGCGGCGCCTCCCGCAGGCGGCGGAGCAGCCCGGGCGGCAGCGACAGCATCAGAGCCTCGGGCCGGGCGGAAGAGGCGCCGGGCGGAAAAGACGCCGGGCGGAAGAGGCGCGGGGCGCGCTTCCGGCCGGCAGTGGCGGGAGGTTCCCGGCGGGCAGGTAGGGTAGGTGCTGTGGTCGTGGTCGTTCCGGTCCCGGTCGTTCCGGTCCCTCCTGGAGCCGCCGCGGGGCCGGGGAAGCCGTGCCCCCCGACCCGGGTAAACTGGTACGGGATGGGCCGGAAGCAGCGGGTCCCACCGCGGCACCCGACTGGGCTCTGCGGCCTGGCTCTGCCGCCGGCAGGGCCCGTGTCTCGGCTACAGCAGGTCACTGGGGGCTGTGTCCGAGCATCCTCCCGGGGATGGGGAGCCCGCTCCGCTCCCGGACATGGGCGGTTTCCTTGGGGCCGGGCAGGGTTTTCTGTGCCTATGGGGCTCCCGCGGTGTCGGCGTCTCCGGGAACCTTTAGCACAAGATGAGGTACCGTTGGGGCCCGCTGAGCAAGGCCTGCGCCCCTGGCCTCGCCTCCGTCGTTATAGGCTTGAGCCCCGGTGCATTCGGCAACCCGAGGGGGAACTGGAGGTTGTTACTGGTGCCGATGCTCGCTGCTGGGGCTGGTGACGTTTGAGGTGCGCTTTGACGTACAGGGTGACGGGAGGGATGGCTTTCGTCAAGATCATGCATCCCACAGCAGGATGCAGAGAGGGACTCTTCATCAGGGACTGTAGCAATAGGAGAAGGGGTGATGGGTTCAAACTGAAACAGGGGAAGTTCAGGTGGGATATAAGGCAGAAGCTCTTCCCTGTGAGGGTGCTGAGGCATTGGCACAGAGTGCCCAGAGAAGTGGTAAATACCCCATCACTGGCAGTGTTCAAGGCCAGGCTTGGCAGAGCTTTGGGTGACATGGTCTAGTGGAAGGTGACCGTACCTGTGGCAGGGGATTGGAACTGGGTGAGCTTTAAGGTCCTTTCCAGCCCAAACCAATCTATGGTTCTATGAGGGGTTCATGGGCTGGGGGTTTGGGCTGGGATTATGGTGACCGCTCATGGGCACTTTGACAGGCTGAAGAAGGGAGCTCACAAAAACCGTAAGGAATTGGAAATAATGCAAAAGCTGAGTATTTGGGAACACAGTCATAGATCCCAGACTGGTTTGTGTTGGAAGGGACTTTAAAGCTCATCCAGCTCCAACCCCCTGCCATGGGCAGGGACACCTTCCATTAGAGCAGGGTGCTCCAAGCCGTGTCCAGCCTGGTCTTGAAGGAGCACACCTGCAAGAAGAAAGTGACCTGAAGGTCCTGGAGGCTGGTTCTCACTGCTGTTAGCAAGGACATAGCCAGTACATAAAGGAAAAGGAACACCTTGTTTGTGGCACCACATCCTGAATGCTCCAGTCTGGGCCCTTGTGAGAGACTTACAAAGTGGAGCAAGGCCAGGGAGGCCCTGGCCATGCTGGGTGGGTGCACAGGAGGAGAGGCTGCAGGAGCAGCCAGAGACAAGGAGGTGAAGGGGGATCCAATGGCATCTCCTGCTGCCCAAAGGGATCCTGGAGATGCTGGAGCCAGAGGGGCACAGCAAGAGCCCCAGAGGTCCTGGCCAAGCTGCAGCAGAGGAAACACCAGTTGGAAATTAAGAAAAAGTGTTTCCACGTGAGGATAAGGGCCCCAAGTGGTGTGGGAATCTGGATCTTTAGAGGCATTTAAGCTTGGACTGGAACAAGCCCTTCACAGCATGTAATTTGATGCAGTTTTGGTTGGAGGCTTGCACTGGGCCTTGCAGAGATCTTTTCCAGCCTAAATGATTCAATGATTTTGGCAAATGTTTTTCCATGTGCTTGGTATTCAGCATCTGTACAGGTGTTATGTTAGACTCTGTACTTGCATGGTGCCCCAGTCAGACTCTTAGTTCTGCAGCCAGTATTTCAATAAACATGCAGAAGTTGGTGCTTGTCTATTGACAAAATGTGCAAAAATATAAGTATGGAGAGCCCTAAACATGGAAAAACTGTGTTTGAATCACTTCAGAAGCAGCAGCACGGGCAGGCTGCTGGAGCCAGCAGTTCCAGCTGTGTCTGTGATCTGTCAGTACAGAAACCAGTACTTCTTTATGATGATTCAGTGACTTCTCCACCAGATTGAAAAATCCTCTGCTGGCTCATCTCTGTTATCACTGGGGTTTGTACCAGTATAGTTAAATCAGGCATGATAACAGGTACCTCTCTTTTGTCTGCACAAATTGCAAGCAAAATGTATTTCTTTGTGCCAGTCAGACCTTGTAGCAGGCTCGTAATGTAGTCGGGAAATGTTCAGGGTATATTTTCCTTTGCAGCAGCAAAATAACTTGTCACCTTTGTTTCTGTGTCCCGCGTAGCTCATAGCCTCAAGTGGGAGTATGAGCGAGTTCCGCATTCACCATGATGTCAATGAGTTGCTCAGCCTGCTGCATGTTCATGGAGGGGAAGGAGCTGAAGTCTACATTGATCTTCTGCAGAAGAATCGAACACCGTATGTTACCACGGCTGTCTCTGCACACAGTGTGAAGGTAAGCGTTGGTGCACAGCCAACATGCATTTCAGACCTCACCAGGGTGGCAGTGGGACCCCTGAGGCAGTGTGTTTTCTTTGCAGTCCTTGGTAGAGGTTCCATCAGCTCTGAAAGCACACTCCTCCCTGAAGAGAAATTCAAGATTAAGATTCCTCAGTGTGATTTCAGTCCAGCTGAGAGAGCTGGGCTGGTTCAGCCTGGAGAAAGGGAGACCTTAGAGCAGCTCCCAGTGCCTAAAGGGGCTACAGGAAACCTGAAGAGGGGCTTTGGACAAGGGCCTGTAGGGACAGGACAAAGAGAATGGCTTTAACCTGCCAGAACAGGGGAGACTGAGATGAGCTTAGGCAGAAGCTCTTCCCTGTGAGGGTGCTGAGGCGCTGGCACAGGGTGCCCAGAGAAGATATGGCTGCCCCATCCCTGGCAGTGTTCAAGGCCAGGGTGGACACAGGGGCTTGGAGCAACCTGCTCTAGTGGAAGGTGTCCCTGCCTGTGGCACAGGGCTGGAACTGGATGAGCTTTAAGTTCCCTTCTAACCCAACCCAGTCAGTGATTCTATGCTAATTCTATGATTTCTCTTGGTCTGTGGTATGAACTACATTTTCCTTACTGTACTTTCCTCTGAGATAACTTGACTTCTGTGTTTGTGGAGCTGGACCCATGTTGGGGAGTGGTAATGGCCGTGCCAAGTTTTTTGAAGAATAATGGTGAAATCATGTTGGCAAGGGTATAAAAAGAAGGAATCTGATCTGGAATCTCAATTTGGGGTATAAAGTAGAAAGATTATATCAGGAAAAAGGTAAAATCCTTGCATATTGGAGGGATGGGTGGAAGAAGATAAGGAGTGTTAGAACTGAGATGGGAGGGAAGTTTAAAGAAGGAGCTTATTTGTGCGTATGGTGGCTGTTTCAAAATTTAGAGGGGTTGTCCTTTGGAGGAGTCAAATGATTGGGAAAGAGTAACTGTATGAAACATGCTGATATAAGCAATACCTGACTTTTCTTCTGAATATCCCAAAGTACTGGGGATTGAAGCCTGACATTCTCATGGCCAGGTATGCTTCTGTGGCCATAATAGTGCTTTTCAATGTTGTTTTTAAAAGCAATCCATCAATCAAGCTCCGAGTTGCTAATTTTGTCTGGAAGTTGATCTCTTTGTAGCCTGAACTCTCTGTTTTCTCTAATTCCAGTCTTGTGCATCATTTACAGTGACAGTTCATAGACTTGTAGAAAGATTGAAGTAGGAGGCACAGCCAGAGACCTGCAGTCCAACCCCTTATTCCCAGCAGGGCCAGCATCACAGCTACAGCAGACTGCTTAGCTGCATTTTGAAGATCTCTAGGAGACTCCTCCATCTCTGGCCATGTCCCAGCATCACCACTCTCTCCAGAAAGGACTCTCCCTAGGGTCAGCTGGGATTTTCTGTGTCACAGCTTGTGGCAGTGCCTGTGGTGCTTTTGCTGTGCCCCTTAGAGCAGGGTCTGTAACCCTTTTGGGCAACAGGCAGTACACCCCACTATCTCTGGCTCTGCACTGAGCTCAGTCTGGTTGATGTCTCTCTTGCTAGGGGGGCCTCCAAAGTGGATCCAGTGGCTTCATCAACACCAAATTCCTTAATAAACCTGCTGATACAAAATTATATTGCTTCAGACTGAGCATGTGCAAAGTGAGCCCTGCTGCAGTTCTTGTGCCTACCTTCATTGTTTCTCTTCTGGAGTTCCTTCTCTATCACCTGAAGTCCCAGGACTCCCACTCTCGTCCAGCATAACCATTAGCAGAAGACCAGTGCTGCAGCATTCAGTCCAAAACCCATTCCCTGGAGTACTTTGGAGGCAACCCCAGCCTGCATCTCATTGTCTTCCTCCTTGCACAATGTTTCTGTCTTGAATGCTGAGCTAATAATGCACATTAAACATTTATTACTTATATGGTGTTTTACAGGTAAAAATAGCAGAGTTCTCTCGAACTCCTGAGGATTTTTTAAAGAAGTATGATGAGCTGAAATCTAAAAATACAAGACATCTCGATTCTTTAGTTTATCTACTGTCAAAACTCACAGAAGACAAAGAGGTTTGTTTCTCCTTTAGAGCTGGATCTATTACAAGTATCCAACAGTATCAACAGTGCAGTGGTTTTAAGTACAGCATGCTTTCTAATGATAATGTTCAGCGTAGAAATCGATAGATAACCAGTTCTAAGTCTACTGAATTGTTAAAGCACTACTGACAGTTGCACTATTCTTGGTATAAACCACTGAGACTTGGAAAACTGGGACAGAAAGAGCTGTGGTCTGATATAGCACAGCCATCTTATGGTCATACGTTTTTTGCTTTAGTGTGTGCGGACCAGCATTCACCAGATCTTTTATTTCTTCATGTATGTACAGACACTCCAGTATTTGCAACAGAATGCTAAAGAAAGGGCAGAACTTGCAGCAAATGCAGCAACCAGTGGCAGCACAAATTTTGCCATCCCCTCATCTACTTCCAAGAT